CCCAGTATGACAGATGTAGTGACTCATCATTTACAGCCCAGTAACGAGCAACCAAACCTTTGATTGACTGGTTTCTGAGGATGTTGACTCTGGCCTCAGGCCTCCAGCTCTGTAGGCTGGACGTCTGTCATTTAAGGGATCAAAGGGTCCTTCTGCTCTGTTTGGGTTTTGTTTTGAGCTTTTTCTTTTCTCCAATCTGAATTAAAGTCCTCATTGGTTCATCTGGGCCTGCTGATGTATCTGGTACCAGAACTGCTGCACTCAGTTCAACATCCTGCTCTGAAAACTGACCAAGTGGTGTTGAAACCACAGGGAGGGGGGGCTGTAGGACACTAACTGGACCTGGGTTTGGACCAGTTAGTGTGAGGAAATTTTAATAACTGGACCTCAGTGACTTTTAATTGAATAACCCTGCATTAGGGTTCTGGTTCTGATCAGGGTTCTGGTTCTGATCAGGGTTAAGGTTCTGATCAGGGTTAGGGTTCTGATCATGTGAGACTGAGGCCCAGAACCACTTTCACGTCCATCACCGGCTGAACCACAACAAGCTCTGCAGAGTTGAGAGCTTTTGGTTTTTCCCTTGAGGAATATTTCCTGTTGTGTGGATGTGATCCGGGCAGAGCCGTGATCCGGGCAGAGCCAATCCCTCGGCACCACAAACACAACGGGTCCAGTAGGTTGATCTGATCCAACCCAGCCCGATCTAAGTTCAGTGTGCTTTTGATTTCTGCTGCGTTCAAGTCACCTGGGAACTAGTTCCCTTTGTCTGAGTACAGAATCATCGGCTGCACCTCAGCTGTTTGTGTTTTGTTGACCAATCACGGGTGTGGTGGGCGGAGCTACGTGACGATGCAGCTTGCTGTTCCCTCAGAGTGGTGATGGTGAAACTGATGTGGTGGAACATTTGCAGCAGCTTGAGGAGAACTCTTATTGAAATGTCAGACTGTAGGCTGTCGCAGAGGAAGAGCAAAGATGATGATGATGATGATGATGATCAGTGGCGTCTACCTGCGTCCTCCATCAGGTGAGGCAGAACACCTGAACCTGCAGCTGCCACAGTTCGTCAGCTTTCAGCTGAGGAGTTAATCAGTCGTTTTAAAGATCATTCAGCCAGTTTGAATACTTTTAATAAAACATTGTGCGATTGCCAAAGTGTTGATGATCTGGTTTCTGTCCTCTGTGACAGTCGACCGAAGGTCTTTGGAGAAAACAAGACATTTGATCCACGTGTCACCATTTCAGAAACAAACAGCTGATGATTGATCCGGAGTCGACGTGGTGATGAAGTGAAGGTTGGTTGCAGTTGCAGAACAAACACAAACACCAGCACGTTTTCTGTAAACTTTAATAAATCCTCTGGACCTGTGACAGTCAGAACAGATTGGCCGAGCGGCCGTCACATCAGCAGTCTGTTGGTTCGTGTTCAGTCTTTGTTGTAAACAAACTGCTCATGGCTGCATTCAGTCGCCTTTATGTTCTGATCACACAGGATCAATACAGTCAGCACAGGATCAATACAGTCAGCACAGGATCAATACAGTNCAGCTTCCTGTCTGCAGCTTCCTGTCAGCTTTCTGTCTGCAGCTTCCTGTCTGCAGCTTCCTGTCAGCTGACTGTCAACTTCCTGTCAGCTTCCTGACTGTCGGAAGCTGACAGTCAGGAAGCTGACTGTCAGCTTCCTGTCTGCAGCTTCCTGACTGTCAGCTTCCTGTCTGCAGCTTCCTGACTGTCAGCTTCCTGACTGTCAGCTTCCTGTCAGCTTCCTGTCAGCTTCCTGTCAGCTTCCTGTCTCCAGTGCGACCTGTGCAGCTCCTGACCAGGTGTTGTCACTTGCAGGCTGAAATAATGACGGTGAACTCTGTCACTTTGAGCAGCTGTTGTGTAACCTGTTTCATGGTCGTTGTGTCCTTGGGCAAGACACTTCACCACCTGCCTGGTGTGACTGCGTATGAATGGATTGTTTGAGGTGGTGGTCGTAGGGGCAGAATGGAAGCCACGCCTCTGTCAGTCTGCCCCAGGGCAGCTGTGGCTGCAACCGTAGCTACCACCACCACAATGAATGTGTGTGAATGAATGATTGACAGTGTAAAGCGTCTTTGAGTGTCTAGAAAAGCGCTGTATAAATCTGATCAATTATTATGATTATTATTACCTGCTGCATATGAACACCTGTGGAGTTGTGAACTGGAACCACGAGGAGCTGGGTTTGGGTCCGGTAGTGAACCATCAGTGGATCCCTGTTTAATTCTTATGTTTCTTCAGTTTCCATTGACTTTGAAAGTCAAATATTTCAAAGTAGAAAATGCAGCTTGTTTTTTGTTTTTGTTCAGAATTTTCATTTTTTCTGGTTTGCTTTGGAAACAGAAGGTTTGGGCGCCCCGGTAGCTCGCCAGGCTGAGCGGCTGATCCGTATACGAGGCCCCACTTCAGTCCGGCCCACGGCCTTTTGCTGCATGTCCTTCCCCAGTCTTCTCCCTGCCTTTCCTGCCTCTCTCCCCACTTCCCTATCGCATAAATAACATCTAAGAAAAACAGAACGTTTGGTATTTGACCAGATTTTACTGTAGAACCTGCTTTGTTCTGCTCTTTCCTTCTTTAAGCTCTGACGTGCGCTGGTTCTCCTGAACCGTGAACAGGTTCATACCTGATCCAGTCCATGGATGTCGGCGCTCAGCTTAGTAGTTCACTGAGGAACCGTAGTGCTCTGTGTTCACCTGGGCTACGATGGAAAAATGCTTCAGACACAAACATGTTGCACACAGGCAGCGGCTGCATGTGTTCCCTAAATGTACCAGCCGGACTGAAAGTCCTGCACTGACCGCTTTTGGTCCAAGTTCATGACTGTTGCAGCCTCAGTTTATCTGTTCGTCTAGTGTTTATGTTTCACATTTTATTTCTGTTATTCTGGCAGAAACCAGTCAGTGTTCTTTCACTCGGTACTGAATCCTGACACTCTGATGTCTCCACAGATGTCGAGTCGACTCCCTTGGCTCTCGGAGGCCTGCAGCTGGACTCGGAATCCCAGCATGCACCTCTTTCTGCGGTGAAGCTCGAGCCTGACAGCACCGTGTGCGACATTTGTGGTAAAGTGATGAAGAACAAGTCAAGCCTGGCCCGACACTCCTTCATCCACACGGGAAAGAAGCCGTTCGCCTGCCACCTCTGCGACCTGCGCTTCAACCGCCGCGACAACCTGCAGCACCACCTGAACCGGCTGCACCCCAACGGCGTGGCCAAGCTGGAGAAGCAGCGCGAGGTTCAGGCTTGGCTGTGCGCCATCTGCGGTAAAACTTTCAGCTGCAGATCGAGGCTGAAGACGCACGAGGTCATCCACTCAGGCACCAAACCGCACCGCTGCGACCTCTGCCCCAAAGCCTACATGAGGACCAACGACCTGGAACACCACAAGAAGATCGTCCACGTGGACGGCACCGCGGAGCCTCAGCGGCCAAACTCGCTGCTCTGTGACTTCTGTGGCAAAGAGTTTAAATGCAGGTCACAGCTCGCCATCCACTTCCAGACCCACACTGGGGAGCGGCCGCACCTCTGCGACATCTGCGGACGCAAGTTTGGCCGTCAGTACCAGCTCAAACGCCACAAGATCCTGCTTCACGCCAACCAAGTAAACGGTAAAGAGGACCTGCCGCCTGATGCACTTTTCGCCTGCAGCGTCTGTGGGAAGCGGCTGAAGTCTGAGGCGCTGCTCGCCGCTCACTCCCGCATCCACACGGGTGACAAGCCGCACCGCTGCGGCATCTGTCTGCGCAGCTTCCAGCGCGCCACTTGCCTGAAGCAGCACCACGTCCGTGTACACCTGAAGGTCAAAGTCAGCAACACGCCGCATGCGGCCGCACGCAAGAAGAGCACTGCAGCAGCGAAGGTGTTCCCCTGTTCCATCTGCAGCAAGGTCTTCAAATTCAGGTCTCTGCTGGCGAGCCACTCCATGATTCACAGCGAGATCCGACCCTTCACCTGCGACTTCTGCAGCCGCAGCTTCCGGCGCCTCAGCCACCTGAAGAGGCACCGCGAGGTGGTCCACGCCAACGGAGCGCGCCTGCCTCAGAGCTTCATCTGCCACATCTGCGGCAAAGACAAGAAGTGCCGCTCGCAGCTCGCCAGACACGTCATCATCCACACCGGGGAGCGACCGTTCGCCTGCGACCTCTGCACCGCCCGCTTCAACCGCCAGGGCAATCTGCAGCAGCACAGGAGGCGCATGCATGGCGTCGAAAAGCCGCTGGACGAGGACGCCCCTCCTGTTTTGTTTGATGACGACATGGCAGCTGCTCTGACGTACAAGCAGGAGGAGACGGTGGTGGCCGTGGACGCCTCGGCCACGCCGCTCGGCGCCGCAGCAAGCCAACAGATGGACGGCGAGCAGCAGCTGGACGCGACCTGAAGGCAGAGCTGACTGAAGATGCACGGTGTCCTGCTGCAAGGGATGATGTCAGATGATCTGTGTGAGTTCTGGACGCTGGCGGAACCTGCGGACTGATGGCAGAACCTTCTGGATGGTTCTGATAAGAGAGACAATAGAACCACCGAGTGATCAGAGTTCTTTCATCACAACTGAACCTCAGCTTGGTTGATTCTTGCGCTTTATGTCGGCCTGAGCTTTCCATCGTGTCGCCTGGTCTCTGCAGCACAGTTCAGACGTTTTACTGATGACCAACAGAAACAACAGAGTGACCAACTGACCAATTGATCCCCTGACTAATCGATCACATGCTGATAAACGGAGGCGTTTCTGTGACCTTGTCAAATCCCGTGAATGTTAGTCAAGTTAACATAATGGGTTATACAGGTTAACTGAAGGTGTTACTCAGGTTTAATTAATGGCTTAATGAAGTGTTTGGTTTGAAATGTGACAGACGGGAGAAACGGCCATTAAAGGACACTTGGAAGACCTCGACATGGAGTCTGGAGTGTAACTGGAGCTTCAAACGTTGGGATTCGACCCTTAAACAGGACACTGTTCCGCTTTTCTGTTTTCATTAAATGACAGAGTTCTTCAGCTTTTTGTTGTTCTGCATCACATGAGCCTTGAAACGCCTCATTCAGAGGACAGTCCGACATAGCCAGACTTGTTTTGTGTTCAGTGGCTCAACAAAACCTCAAACTGTCGTCAGAAGTAGGGCTAGGGTTCGTGGTATCGGTCAGAAATCAGCGGCACCAACCAGACTCAGACATTACACATATTAGGGAACATAAGCTGCCGTCTGGCTGGTAGAAGAACCAAATAATACATATATATTAGTAAAGTATATATAGAGAGACACACACGGTGCTAACTAGTGTATCAGAGTTGGGCCCTAAATCAGCAGCACTAGTCATGACCAGAGTCGTTTCATGTGTCTGGAGCAGTTCATCCAGCAGCATGGAGAAGATCTTTAACCAAAGGGGTGATTTTAGTGCTAAAATATGATTATTATTGTTACCCATGAATTTCCACGTTTACAACAAAATGAAACGACAGTGAAACGCACGATTTCTTGAGTCAGTCGTCAGATTACAGCTGTTAACCTTCATTCCTGAACGGAAACGGTTCTAGTGGCTGAATGTTCTGCTTGGCTGATTTCTGACGTCTCAGGAGCCCAGGGGCTCCGCTCTGGGCATAACGGCTGAGTCCAGTTGAAAAGCTCACTGAAAATCTGATTGGTCGTGTAGCGTCAGCTGAGAATCACTCAGAGACGCCTCTGAGCAGAACCAGGACCAGGTTTGCTCCACGGCAGCATCGGTTAGCATCAGTTCCTTTGATTTGTCGTTATTAAAGTGATTTCCTGCATCATGGGACAGAGTCAGACCTGAATGAGCTTCAGCACGACATCAGGGTTAAATATGTGAGGTTTAAGGTTTAACAGCTTTAGTGTGCAGCTGTCAG